CGTGGCCTTGATCTAGTTGCGGATGGATTTACAAAGCCTCTTTTTGGAGCTGCGTTCAAGCGATTCTTGGAGAACTTGGGCATGAACATTCCGTTCTTGCGGGCTGAAGATCCTGAGGTGCGTGCAGCTCAGATGCGAAATCTTGGCAGCCGAGAACGAGTTCATGCTGGCGCAGCTTCTGCATGAGCTTTCTGGTTGGTCAGGCGATGCTGACTGAAGCCACAGCTCTTGAGTTGAAGAGCGAAGGTGATGAAGCTGATCCGTTATGGATAGCGGCAGTGGTGCTGATGATCCTTGGGGCAATCTATGCAGGCAAGTTAGCTGTGATGTCAGCGAAGTGTTGCCTGAGACGATTGCAGTGGTTCAAAGAGCTTCCTGCAGCTGTCGCAAATGATGGTGATGCATCATCAAGCTCCGCTACCAAAAATGATGATGTGAGATCAAGTTCTATGCAGCGGTCGGGCACTTCGAATGCAGCTGGACCTTTGAGCAGTTCTAGCCCTGAGCAGGCTGTGGTTGCTGGCCCTGTGCAGGCCGTGTCAAGCGATGGTCCAGGGCAGGCCACTCGCTCTCCTTGCAGATCTGCGGCTGCTGTGGCGTCTTCGAGCGGCGCTGAATCTGGCCCTGTGCAGGCCTCTACTGCTGCTGTGGCGTCTTCGAGCGGTGCTGAATCTGGCCCTGGGCAGGCCTCTACTACTGCTGCTGCGGCGTCTTCGAGCGATGCTGGATCTGGCCCTGAGCAGCCCTTGCTGCTGACGTATCTGGCCTTGAGCAGGCCCTGCGCGCTGTGGCGGCGATTTCCGGGCGAGCTGTTGCGGATGGTGTTGGCCTTGAGCAGGCTATGCGGCAGCATGCAGGTGGAGTGAGCGAGGCATTGCGGGTCGGGGGCCGGTCTGTAACAGACTTGCACAACCCATGGAACTTGTTTCAACATGAAAATAGAGGCAAAGGATGGTCGCCGGCTAAAATGGCCTGTATGTACACGAAGTGGCGACAACATCCGAAGGATAAAATGCCTTGAGCCCAAGAACCAATTTTAGGTTCCTTTTTTTTGTTTTGAAATGCAATTCATGTTGGCTGGGTGCCAAGAATTCAACTCCAAGATCGTGAAATCACGATTGGGGGAATCTGTCAGGTGCGCGGATGACACGCACAAATCATAGAAGTGATCCTGATCTGCCAGGCATTTTGGTTTAGGAAAACACCGTGTTTGTCAAGCCTGTAAATTTCCAGACACAATGGCTCTTGTGCAATGTCCGACTGCATTTCGACTGCGTGGGCTCGCACAAAACGATGTCCCCGGAGGTGACTCCGGCCATTTTTCTTGTAATTTTCCATGCAAAATGGCCCTTGTACAATGTCCGTCTGCATTTCGACTGCGTGGGCTCGCACAAAGTGTGCTTCCCGGTCTTGGGATCGGTCTTCCTCCTCAACATCCTCCTCCTCAACGTCATCATCTTCCTCCTCAACATCAACATCATCATCTTCCTCTCCTCGCAATCATCATCATCGTCGTCGTCGTCGTCGTCATCATCATCACCCTCACCATCATCATCAACATCGCCATCAGCATCACCATCAACATCATCGTCAACATTAATTACCATCATCACCCACATTAATTAACATCATCATCAACATTATAATTAATACATTATCCTTTTACTCCCCACACACTGTTTGGGGTTTCTTGTCGGGATAATGAGGTGATGAATCCCTTGTAACAACCCGTAGCCATTTATTCTCCATTCATGCCAAACGGCAAGTCGTGGTTCAAACCCCCGCATTTTATCAGTGGCGTATGAAAGACCTGTAAATTGCGTCGTAAATCACCGGATGTCATCAGAACGAACCTCGCCATGCCGATTCCTCGCCCAGGAAAGTGGTGGGTTTTATTTTTTTGTGCCTTCCGGGTACCATCGGACATTTGGCCGCAAAGTCTTTTCCGGCTGAGACCTCAACTGTTAAAGTAGCTGGAACTGACCGAATTAAGTTGGCTGATTGAAAAAGCATTAATTACGTTTTTTTTCCCCACATCTTTGTGTGGGGTTCTTGTTTTTGGTTCTGTATCCCGCCGTCCGCCTCCGCCTCTGCCTCATCTTTGTCACACACACACACACCATCTTTCACACACAGCTTTGTCACACACCATCTTTCACACACAACTTTGTCACACACCATCTTTCACACACACACACAACTTTGTCACACACCATCTTTCACACACACACACACAACTTTGTCAGACACCATCTTTCACACACAACTTTGCACACACACACACACAACTTTGTCACACACAACTTTGCCACACACACACACACTACCTTTGACCAACCACCATCTTTCACACACAACTTTGTCACACACAATTTTGTTACACACCATCTTTCACACACAACTTTGTCACACACACAACTTTGTCACACACACACACAACTTTGTCACACACCAACTTTCACACACAACTTTGTCACACACACACACAACTTTGTCACACACCTCCTTTCACACACAACTTTGTCACACACCGGTGACGCCGCGGCACTTTGCGTGGCAGGCGTGGCGTGGCAGGCGTGGCACTTGTGGCACTGGGCTGGATTTGGTGGCGCGCTTGGGGCCTATAGTCGCCGCGGCACTTTGCGTGGCAAGCGTGGCACTTGGCGACATCCACCATTGTTTTGCGTGGCAGGGGCCGCGCTTGGTGACATCAACCTTCCGTTTGCGTGACAGGCATGGCACTTGTGGCACTGGCTGGATCTGGTGGCGCGCTTGGGGCCCATTAGTCGCCGGTGGCACTGTGGCACTTTGCGTGGCAGGCGTGGCACTTGGCGATGTCGACCTTCGTTTTGTATACTGGTGTCGCACTTGGCGACGTCGACCTTCGTTTTGCGTGGGAGGCCTGGCGCTTGTTGACATCGACCTTCGTCTTGTGTGGCAGGCGTGGCACTTATGGCACTGGGCTGGATCTGGTGGCACGCTTGGGGCCCGTTACTCGTCGCGGCACTTTGCGTGGCAGGAGTGGCGCATGGCGACATTCACCTTCGTTTTGCGTCACAGGGGTGCACTTGGTGACATCGACTTTCGGTTTGCGTGGAGGGCTGGCACTGGGCTGGATCTGGTGGCGCGCTTGGGGCCCGTTAGTCGCTGGTGACGCCGTGACACTTTGCGTGGCAGGCGTGGCACTTGCTCCGTTTTGCGTGGCAGGCGTGGCACTTATAAGTTATATGGCACTGGGCTGGATATGGCAGTGGCACGCTTGGGGCCCGTTAGTCGCCGGTGACGCTGCGGCACTTTGCGTGGCAGGCGTGGTCCACCTTCGTTTTGCGTGGCAGGCGTGGCACTTGGTGACATCGATCTTCGTCTTGTGTGACAGGCGTGGCACGCTGGATCTGGTGGCACGCTTGGTGCCCGTTAGTCGCCGGTGACGCCGCGGCACTTTGCGTGGCAGGCGTGGCACTTGGCGACGTCGACCTTCGTTGTGTGGCAGGCGTGGCGCTTGCATGGACCTTCGTTTTGCGTGGCAAGCGTGGCGCTTATGGCGCTGGGCTGGATCTGGTCGGTGGCACGCAACTTTATCACACACAATTCGTTCACACTCATACACAACTATTTCACAACTTCCTCATGCACAACTCTGCCACATGCAACTTTTGTACTTATCGATCCTCCACCACCTCCATTTGTCTTTCCTCCCTTCCCCGTCCCACTTCAACTTCTGCTTCTGATTTTTGGAAGAAATTGACTCGTGGCGTTATCCGGTCCTTTAAGACGCTTTAAAGCGAGAGACCATGCATGCACTCATCAAATGCAGCATGTGAAGTCTGTGTCCTGTGTTCATACCCAATTTCACTGAAACTCATTCGGAGGATTGCTTCTGGTCCGACGGAATGCCAGCATTTCGCGCAATGGAGAACCCTTCACCGTCACATGGCTGTAATATGCTGTAATATTTTGCAAGAGTGGTAGCTGCTTGTAGCCCGTGCCAGGTGGAATTGACACAAAAGTCCAAGGGGTTCAGCGCAGCCATCTGCGTTCTTTTTAACAGGGAACATGCAGATAAGGACTGACCCACTGATTGCCGATTGCATTTTGCTGGCATCTCATATTGTGCTGCATGTGTGAGTAACATTTTTTGAATGGTGTTTATGCATGACTCCATGACCATGGTTTTCGCTTCTCTCCCTCAGTCTCAGCTGACTCCGACCATGTCCACTGAAGTGCTGAGAAATGGATTAAGTCTCATGTTTCACCCCCAAAGAATTTTGGAGTACTGCATGTCCCCATGTTGATATATACGCTGTTCTGCTGAAACGATTGCCCGCGCAACAAACACACGCAACTGATGCGTTTCCAATTGGATGCGTCTTGTGGCAAAAATCCCGTCCCAGTTGCGACGGTGCTTTGCGATTTTTAGCCTATGACTCTACCCTCTGGATCCCTCTGGCAATTTGTCTTAATATTTAATATAACATAATATAGCTATGAAAAACCCACCATGATCCCAGTTTATAGATGGTTTTCGCATTTAAAACTGGTCCAATGTCACCACAGGGTACTTTTGCGGCATGATATGTCAGAAACGAGGTCCCGAAAAACGACGAGGTGTATCCTGAGCTGGTGAAAGCCGTCGCACGGCAGCAGCTGCATGTCCATGGTTTGTTCCGTGAGAGCGCCTCAAAACATGTATTGACGGCGATCAAAAAATAGAGTGGTTGGGTACATGTGCAATCTATATAAATACTATTGTATTCTGTACTAATTACTGAATACTAAAGATGAACAGTTCTATGGATCCATTGGTACCCTATTTCTGAGCCATAGTTTCACGTAGCCATATATGTATGTAATTGGTATATAAGACATAAAGACGTTGTGGTGGTGTATGTCCTTGTGCCACCCGATGCCAGTATAACAGGGTAGCAGTTGGAAGTATGGCCCTAGGCCATGATAGCCATGATCCCTGGATTTCCTGCTGTTTGCCCCTCACCCAGCAGGTTATGCCCCTGTGGTCCCTGGGCTTCTTTGCCGCGGTCCTGGTGGGCAGCGTGTTGTCGTCCTTCAACTCTGCGCTGAATTCGGCGGCCACCATCTTCGGGTTGGAAATCTACAAGGTCTACATCAACAAGGACCCAAATGACACCTGCGTAAAACCAAGACATTGTTGTAATGGACCCCCCTGTTAAAGGGGTTCGGCAGCGGGTTTCTTGCGCTCTTCAGAATGTCTCTTTGATACGATCAAGCTAGATTTCAGTCTGGTCCAACCTGCGTTTCTTGTTTCCGTTGCGCAATCACATCAAGGCAACATGGAGGTTCAACAACCAGTCAAGACTCAGCATGGACAAGTTTTCACGGACAATGAACCCAGATATGTATGCAGATGTTCTTGATGTAGCCGTAGAAGTAGAGTTGGAGGTCTAGGCCAAGGAACCCTTTGGTGGTTTTGCCAAATATCCATTGTCGGGTCAATGGGATTCTTTTCTTGGTGACCCATGTGAATGTGGACCCCATCAATTCAGCTACAAATCACGTGGCTGGTCATGAACCCTCCACCAAGGCATCAGGGTTTTTTGATCCCTTCCAAAGTGTATGATTACATTTAATAACATACCTACATAATATGTATATGTATACGTATATATAATAATTAGATATTTAAAACTATTTTAGACACTATATTGAATTATGTTCTATTTTTTGATTATATTATATGTTTTTTTTTGCTTTATTTTATCATATTATTGTTATTATTCTTATTATTGTTATTGTTATTGTTATTATTGTTGTTATTATTATTATTAATATAATATATATATATATATATATGTATGTATGTATGTATGTATGTATGTATGTATGTATGTATGTACAAATTTATTTTTATTTCCCCACCTGCCAGGTGAGGGTTGTTAGATTTTATCAGAGCTGTTCTCCTCATCCTCCCCCTCCTCCTTCTCCCCCCCCTCCTCCCCCTCTTCCTCCTCCGCCTCCTCCTCTTCCTCCTCCTCCAGTTTCTCCTCGACCATGTCTGCATCCAATTCCACGTCCACTTCCGCCACTTCCATGTCCACTTCCGCCTTGCCAACTCTTCGCCAATCTCTTAGCCAACTTCTGTGCGCAGTGGGCACTGCTGGACCTCAACTGCCGGCTTCCGATCTGAGTGGGCACGGCTGGACCTCAACCGCCAGGTTCCGAGCGCAGTGGGCACCGCTGGACCTCAACCAGGGACCTTCAGAGCTCAATAAGCACCGCTGGACCCCAACCTGGGACCTTCCGAGCTCAGTGGGCACTGCTGGACCTCAACCTCGGACCTTCCGAGCTCAGTGGGCACCGCTGGACCTCAACGGGCAGATAGAATGCCAGAAGATATGCCAGATAGAATGCCAGAAGATATGCCAGATAAAATGCCAGAAGATATGCCAGATAGAATGCCAGAAGATATGCCAGATAGAATGCCAGAATTGTGAGGCCGGACCGGATGATGTTCCTGATTGGAAGCTTCGGAACGCGAGAGTCGCGAAGGAGCGGTGCGAAAAACTCAAGGAGAAGCATCCTGAGGCCGGAACTGGCCGGAGCTGATTTTTCATGTTGTGAGTAGCATTGTCGGCGAATTTTCTTTTGAGTAAGATTATCGGTGAATTTTGCTTTGCACGTGGTCAGGATTCAAGGTGGCTGGAGATGGTGAAGCAAATGGATGATGAGACCCTGAGCGACCACATCACTTTCACCATCTTTCATCCACCGTGTGCGTGCCTCAAATTGAGCACTGTCTTTTTTAATTTGGTTGTTGCCATTCCATGAAGTGACGCTTGTTTTTGATCAACATGGATTGTGTCCATGATTTGCATGAGGTCCTTGAAAGCGGCAGCATGAAGCGCATCCTCGGCATCTCTAAGGCCATGGAACTTGGCGATGGCAACGTGACCCGAGAGTGGTCCTGATCTGATTGCTTGCTTGAACGTCATCCAATCATCCAATCATCCTCATCCTCATCCTCACCCTCATCATCATCATCATCACCATCATCATCATCATCATCAGCACATGATTGCATCACTCTGGGCCAGGAACATCGATGTGGCGGCTCACAACGAAGGCCAGGAGTTATGAGGTTTGGAACTCAGATTGGAACTCTGGTTTGAATGTTTTGCTTGATACTTTGATTGGTGGATCCGTTTTTCATTTTTGGATGTTCTGCTTAGGCCCCCCAGCTGCTGACTTCCAGCTGCCGACCATCAACAGAGTGGAAAATGTGAGTTCAGCGGATGCAGCCTCGCTTGATTGCTTTTTGATCTCAGAGAGTCTGCGGACCTTGTTTCTGAAGACCGGATTGCTGTTTGCAAAGTGCGAGTCCTTGAGCCTGGGTCATCGTCATCATCTTCCAAGCTGCCTACTCCCACAGAAGGCAAGGATTTGTTGAATTTCAACGTCATTTCGTGACACATCAATCATGACCTTGCTTGGCTTTGATTTGATCCTGCTGCATCAAATTTGATGGCCTGTTTCCTGGCAGTTTGGCTTCAAACCCAAGCATTGCAATCAACCAAGTTTTGGAAGTTGACAAATCCCTGCCCCAGGTTGACACAATCCAGATATTGAACCCAATTTTCCTAGTTTACTATCTGTGTTCGAACATTGAAATTCAAGAGCTGTTATGAATCTAGTTCAAATATGTTCAAATAATTTCCCACGCAAGGCGGTGTCCAAACACTGAAGAAGGCGGTGTCCAAACACTGAAATGCAAGAACTGTAATGAATCTAATTCCAACATATTTCCCAAAAAAAGCGGTCAAGCATACTACTATTGTTTCAACCACCTTCTTTTGAACACTACCCAAAAATAGCCAATCGAAAGCCATGCCTCCGATTCCAGTGCTGAAAAAGCCGAAGACTCGCTCCACGAGGAACAGAGAATTTTGTCCGCAAGTTGTGTATTTTGAATCCAGTGGGGACCTCCTGACTCGGATTCACCCAGTCTTTTTTGTTTGCCTTTATTGACTTTGGACCCACCAAGGACAAACGAAGGGCCGAGAATAAGAAAAGGACTGGGAACTACGCTTCTTGGATTGCATTTAATTGTTGCTCATGCAAATTTGCTGGTGGGCCATTATTGTTTTTCCTGCTTTTGGAGACCAAACTACCTCTTGATTTGAGTTGATAATCTTTCGCTTTCACGTCCACACTCAGGAAGGATTTGAAAATCCAGACCATCATGAATTCCTTCTCTCGGCGCCGCTGCCTGTGGGGCGCGTGGGTGGCCCATCGGGCCACGTGACTGTGGAGGTGGAAGCGTTGGCTCCACCATCTCCACCTCTTCCACCGCCGGCGGCTCCACCATCTCCACCTCTTCCACCGCCGGCTGCTCCGCCGCCAGTGTCTTGAACAAGATTATAAGTTTCAAGATTGTCTTCATCCATTCTAGCATTGTATTGACAATTTGCACATTCATGCAGATGGGGAATTTGCACAAATCCTGTTGCAAATCTTGCCTCAGGGACTTTCTGCTGATGAGATTGCGGCATTCGAGGCATGCGGGATGAACCTTGGTCTTCAATTACTTGTCCCGCCACTTAGCCCCCTTCAAGTTTAAGTTCCAAGTCAATGTTTGAATTGGACACCACCAACTCAATAATTGCAGGACTTGAAATCTTGTACAGATAAGATCGACTTGGAACCCACCAAGTCTATATATATTATGATCGTTGGAACCCACCAAGTTATATTAAGATAAGATCAGCTTGGACCCCACCAAGTCATATTAAGATAAGATCCACTTGGACCCCACCAAGTCATATTAATATAAGATCCACTTGGACCCCACCAAGTCATATTAAGATAAGATCCACTTGGACCCCACCAAGTCTCTCAGGACTCACATCACTGGATCGTGCTTCGTGGGCCATCAGCTGCCGTATCCCCGGTTGCCTTGGTACAGGCGCTTGCGGATCTTGGTGATCAACTGCCAAGCAGTTGAGTTTCTTTGGCTTGGCTTTGGAAGTTGTTTGATGTCTTATGCTTTTATTTGGTTGTCCTTGTTGGGTTGAACCTGGAGGGACATTAGCAGTGAGCAAGCAAAAATCAAGACTCTGAGGCATCACCAGAACGCTCGAGAAGCAGTTTCCTCTAGGAATGACATCGAGCTGGTTCTGTGCAATCCGAATCACTGCCTGAGGCATCGGGATTCGTGCCTTGTCCATTTGGGTATGATGTATGGATGTGATCTAAAAAAATGGTTGAAGAGAACCCCAGGTATTAACACTTTTGGCGGAGATCTGCAATGAGCTCTTGTCAAAATCCTTTTACATCTATTGTTATTTTCCCCAAAGTGTCTAGTTACCTGTATATCAGGAACTGGCCTAGTTACCAGCCTCACAGGTAACCAGACTTTGGAACCGGAACCAGGCACCACGGATCAAGATAGATCTGAATGTAGTTTGCAAGTGCTTGATAATGCAGGCCCTGAGAGTTTTGAGACCAATCTTTCCACAAAAAGTCATGATACGGAACCGTTAGGAAACCGTGAGAACAGCTCTACACGTTTATCAGCTGCATTATTTTTGTTTGCCTCACGGTTTAAATTTTAAGCCATCGAGCAAAATCCAAGAAACCTACTGTGCTCAGGCTGTTGGAAGCGCTGGCCAGAGCCAAAGAGTACGACAAGGCCAACTTCCCAATTTTCTTCCACTGCAACAGTGGAATGCACCGGGCGCCAACTTTGGCCTTGGCATTCCTGGCGAGGGTCAAAGGCATGCGCGAAGCGGAAGCTGACCCTTGGTTGATCTTTTGCAAGCTGTTGTTTGCGAACTTTTTTGTATGAGTATTTTGGGGGTTCGTGTGCCTGATGTCGGTTGTTTTCCTCTTTGCTTTCTTTGCCCATGTCTGAGGCCGAATTGATCAAGTCGCGCAGGTCGATGGTGCAGTTCATGGCACAGCCCGGGAAAGCAAGGTTTCTTGTTTGCAGGACATTGTAGACCTCATGACACCAAGTGTTGCTTGCCAAGCCTACTTGGTGTTCTTTTTGGTTCCACTTTGCTCCAAAGCTCGGTTCAAGATCATGAATTGAATTGAGAGGTGAAAAAAGGAAGCTGCGCCTTCTTGCTGGTTGCAATTTCTTTGTGGAGAATTTCTGCTGTGCGACTTGTTGTTCCTGTTTCCTTTGAAGAGGATTAAACTACTTTGGATTGTTCTGTGTCTGACAGGCGTCCCTTGAAGGATTCGTCGGAGGCTGAATGACTTTTTGAATTTTCATTGCAAATTATTTCTTCTGTGTGGCTGTTGTTTCCTTTGCATTGCAGTGCATTAAACTTCACTTTAGTTTGGATTGTTCTGTGTCTTACAGGCGTCCCTTGAAGGATTCGTCAGAGGCTCAATGTCTTTTGGAATGTTCATTGCAAATTCCTTGTGTGCAATTGCTATCAAGTTCTCTATGTTGTCAACCTTTGTAGGACCTTTTGGATTGCTCTGTCACTGACAGGTACACATTGTCCTTAATTTTGAAGAGCCCTGCCCTCATTGTCATGGTTCGACCCTAGGACTTTCAACAAATCATGGCTCGGATTTGGACTCCGGTCCCATCAAGTCATAGAAGAACCAAATCCCACTTGACACCACCAAGTAGTCATCAACTAAGTTTAAGATGTCCTGTGTTGGACTTGGAACCACCAAGTCATAGAATGTTGGACTTGGAACCGCCAAGTCATAGAATGTTGGACTTGGAACCACCAAGTCATGGAGGTGGACTCGGTCATTTTGCTTCCTTTTTTGCAAAATGTTTGCAACGCATCATGCCTTTGATTTTCCTGACCATCATTTTCGCTCACAGATTGATGCTCAAGTCATTGGTGCAGCATTCCCTCGGCGTGCCAATGCCCCAGCAATGCCCGGAGAGACCAGAGCCGGTTGGACCGCAGCCGGTGTCTGGTGACCGGGTCCTTCTGTTCCGGCAGAAGTGGGCGAGCCTGGTGTTGGAAGGCCACTGGCCAAACATGATTGTTACTTAAGGGATTTTTGACTTTCAGTTTTGACTTGTGAAGAAACCATGCCCTCAAGTGAACCATGAACGAAGAGCAATTTCAGCAAAACATCACCTGTGGGAAGTATTGTGCGGCTCAATATTTGTTCCATGTGATTAGGCAACGGTATTTGAAGAAAGGTTGAGCTCTTGCAACAAACAAAACAATAGCGTGATTTTAATCATGGATAATGATAGTATATATTGTTTTTGAAAAATATCCGGGGCCCGAAATTTATAGAAAACCTTTTGATTTTTTAACTATCTCAACAGCAACCCAGATTATATGATATGATATATTATATTATATTAAATTATATGATATATATGTTTTTATTATATGATATGCTATGATTGTATTATATTATTATATAACTTATTTGTTTTACATATATTTGCATTATCTTTCTTTTTTATTGTATTTTATTGTAATCCATTTTATCAGATTATATTTTAATTGTTTTTTTTTTTAATATGTTGTGATATATGTTTTATTTTTATTGTATTTTCAGGATATATTTATTATTTCAAAATGTTATTATATTAATATATTATTAATTATTAATATTATATATTTTCAATACTATATATTGATATATTTTTTGATATTATACTTTAATATATTTTTTACGTTATACGATATTATATTTTATTATTCTTATTTTTTAAAATAGTATATTATATTATTTCATGTTGCATTATATTATACTTGATTATCAAAGGAAGTTTAGTGGGAGAAACTTCCGTGTTACGGACTTTTAGAATGTCAGGGAAAGAGTTAGTCAAAGAAACAGTTAGTCAAAGAAAGAGTTAGTCAAAGAAACAGTTAGTCAAAGAAACAGTTAGTCAAAGAAAGAGTTAGTCAAAGAAAGAGTTAGTCAAAGAAACAGTAAGTCAAAGAAAGAGTTAGTCAAAGAAAGAGTTAGTGAGGGAAAGAGTTAGTGAAAGAAAGAGTTAGTGAGGGAAAGAGTTAGTCAAAGAAAGAGTTAGTCAGGGAAAGAGTTAGTCAAAGAAAAGAGTTAGTGAGGGAAAGAGTTAGCAAAGTTAGTCAAAGAAAGAGTTAGTCAAAGAAACAGTTAGTCAAAGAAAGAGTTAGTCAAAGAAAGAGTTAGTCAAAGAAAGAGTTAGTCAGGGAAAGAGTTAGTCAAAGAAAGAGTTAGTGAGTCAAAGAAACAGTTAGTCAAAGAAAGAGTTGTCAAAGAAACAGTTAGTCAAAGAAAGAGTTAGTCAAAGAAAGAGTTAGTCAAAGAAAGAGTTAGTCAAAGAAACAGTTAGTCAAAGAAAGAGTTAGTCAAAGAAACAGTTAGTCAAAGAAAGAGTTCGTCAAAGTTAGTCAAAGAAAGAGTTAGTCAAAGAAAGAGTTAGTCAAAGAAAGAGTTCGTCAAAGAAACAGTTAGTCAAAGAAAGAGTTAGTCAAAGAAAGAGTTAGTCAAAGAAACAAAGAAAGAGTTAGTCAAAAAGAGTTAGTCAAAGAAACAGTTAGTCAAAGAAAGAGTTAGTCAAAGAAAGAGTTAGTCAAAGAAAGAAAGAGTTCGTCGAAGAAAGAGTTCGTCGAAGAAACAGGTAGTCAAAGAAACAGTTAGTCAAAGAAACAGTTAGTCAAAGAAAGAGTTCGTCGAAGAAAGAGTTCGTCGAAGGTTCGTCAGGGAAAGGGTTAGTTAAAGCAAGAGTTAGTTAGGGCATTGATTGTTCCCGCAATGCAAATGGGATTGCAAGTGGTGCTGCCGGATGAGTTGCCGATGGAGTTTTGAAGGAAGTCTCGCACGAAATGCGTTTTTGAGAGATAGCAGAGGCAGGAAACCCTATGTTTTTCCATACAAAGTCTGTCCCCGAACCTCGATGATCTACCTCTGCGGTGCGACGGGTGCGAGACGGTCTCGTGTGTGGTCGGATCATCCTCGGATCATCCTCGGATTGGTCTCGGATCGGTCTCGGATCGGTTCCGCATTGTAAATGGGGTTTCAACTGTGTTTCGTCTATGTGCGGTCGACAGAATTCCATTGTGAATTGCAACTGTAGGATCGTTCCCGCAATGCAAATGGGATTGCAAGTGGTGCTGCCGGATGAGTTGCCAATGGAGTTTTGGAGGAAGTCTCGCACGAAATGCGTTTTTGAGAGATAGCAGATGCACGAAACCCTATGTTTTTCCATACAAAGTCTGTCCCCGAACCTCGATGATCTACCTCTGCGGTGCGACGGGTGCGAGACGGTCTCGTGTGTGGTCGGATCATCCTCGGATCATCCTCGGATCATGGTCGGATCATGGTCGGATCGGTCTCGGATCGGTTCCGCATTGTAAATGGGGTTTCAATTGTGTTTCGTCTATGTGCGGTCGACAGAATTCCATTGTGAATTGCAACTGTAGGATCGTTCCCGCAATGTAAATGGGATTGCAAGTGGCGCTGGTGGATGAGTTGCCAATGGAATTCCATTGTGATTTGCAACTGTAGTATCCTTCCCGCAATGTAAATGGGATTGCAAGGTTGCTTCCTGCTTTGGCTGCATACGTAATACTATTGTCTTTTGCAGCTGGACTTCGTAAATCGTATTGGAGTGGCTGCATGAAGGCTGCGACAGTGATTTGTCAGCAGATTTTCTTCATTTAGGCGCTAGTGATTTTCCTTCTAAAAATCTTTTTAAAAAGTGCTTCAAAATCGTTTTTTTTTTCGCTCTGGCATCGAGATCCGGTTTTGGAGCTACAATTTCCGCACTCCAATGCGCGTAGTTCTATTGTCTTTTGCAACTCAGTCTCTGCAGATTGCATTGTAATGGCTGCGTCAAGGTTGCTTCGTGCTGTGGTTGCATTCGTAGTCTCGCACGAAATGCGTTTTTGAGAGATAGCAGATGCACGAAACCCTATGTTTTTCCATACAAAGTCTGTCCCCGAACCTCGATGATCTACCTCTGCGGTGCGACGGGTGCGAGACGGTCTCGTGTGTGGTCGGATCATCCTCGGATCATGGTCGGATCGGTCTCGGATCGGTTCCGCATTGTAAATGGGGTTTCAACTGTGTTTCGTCTATGTGCGGTCGACAGAATTCCATTGTGAATTGCAACTGTAGGATCGTTCCCGCATTGTAAATGGGATTGCAAGTGGCGCTGGTGGATGAGTTGCCAATGGAATTCCATTGTGATTTGCAACTGTAGTATCCTTCCCGCAATGTAAATGGGATTGCAAGGTTGCTTCCTGCTTTGGCTGCATACTAATACTATTGTCTTTTGCAGCTGGACTTCGTAAATCGTATTGGAGTGGCTGCATGAAGGCTGCGACAGTGATTTGTCAGCAGATTTTCTTCATTTAGGCGCTAGTGATTTTCCTTCTAAAAATCCTTTTAAAAAGTGCTTCAAAATCGTTTTTTTTTCGCTCTGGCGTCGAGATCCGGTTTTGGAGCTACAATTTCCGACGCCGTTGCGCGTAGTTCTATTGTGTTTTGCAACTCAGTCTCCGCAGATCGCATTGTAATGGCTGTGTCAAGGTTGCTTCATGCTGTGGCTGCATGCGTAATAGTATTGTCTTTTGCAGCTGGACTTCGTAAATCGTATTGGAGTGGCTGCATGAAGGCTGCGACAGTGATTTGTCAGCAGATTTTCTCCATTTTGGCGCTAGTGATTTTCCTTCTAAAATCCTTTTAAAAAGTGCTTCAAAATCGTCTTTTTTTCGCTCTGGCGTCGAGATCCGGTTTTGGAGCTACAATTTCCGATGCCATTGCGCGTAGTTCTCTTGTGTTTTGCAACTCAGTCTCCGCAGATCGCATTGGAATGGCTGCGTCAAGGTTGCTTCTTGCTTTGGCTGCATGCGTAATGTCTTTTGCAGCTGGATTTCGTACATCGTCTTGGACTGGCTGCATGAAGGCTGCGAAATGGATTTGTTTGCAGATTTTCTCCATTTTGGAGCTAGTGTTTTTTTGTTGCACGTAGGTTTAGAGCAGTGTGAAGTGTGGGGCGTGAAGAGTGCAGTGTGAAGTGTGCAGTGTGAAGGAAGCAGTGAGAAGTGTGAAGTGTGGAGTGTGAAGTTTAAGTTTGGAGTGCGAAGAGCGCAGTGTGACGTGTGAAGTGTGAGGTTTGGAGTGTGAAGGAAGCAGTGAGAAGTGTGAAGTCTGAAGTGTGAAGTGTGGAGTGTGAAGTGTGGAGTGTGAAGTTTCAGTTTGGAGTGCGAAGAGCGCAGTGTGAAGTGTGAAGTGTGAAGTGTGAAGTGTGAGGTTTGGAGTGTGAAGGAAGCAGTGAGAAGTGAGAAGTGTGAAGTGAGAAGTGTGAAGTGTGGACTGTGAAGTGTGGAGTGTGAAGTGTGAAGTGTGGACTGCGAAGTGTGAAGTGTGGACTGTGAAGTGTGTGGCGTGCAGTGTGTTAAGTGTGAAGTTGAGTTTGGTTTTTCAGTGAAGGCAGTGAGAAGTGAGAAGTGAAATTTGGAGTGTGAAGTGTGAAATGCGAAGTGAGAAGTGTGGACTGTGAAGTGTGAAGTGTGGACTGTGAAGTACGAAGTGTGAAGTGTGGACTGTGAAGTGTGAAGTGTGAAGTGTGGACTGTGAAGTGTGAAGTGTGAAGTGTGGACTGTGAAGTGTGAAGTGTGCAGTGTGAAGTGTGAAGTGTGAAGTGTGAGGTTTGGAGTGTGGAGGAAGCAGTGAGAAGTGAGAAGTGTGGAGTGTGAAGTGTGGAGTGTGAAGTTTGAAGTTTGGAGTGCGAAGAGTGCAGTGTGCAGTGTGAGGTGTGGAGTGTCGAGGGAAGGACACGGTCGGGACAGGGTGTCTTTGAACTATAGGTCATTTATGTTTGGGAAACTTCCGCCGCCGGCTTGCCCGGGTCTATGTTATAATACTACATTATATTATACTACACTATATTATATTACATTATTACATTATTACATTAATTGTCTATATGATATATCATATAGTACCAATACATCTTACATATGCAGCTTCCATACGACATACATGTTCCAGAAAACCGCCAGGACGCCTCTGACAAGCGAATTGTGAATGTGTCCACCATCTTTGGCGCAGCCATGACTTTGGGCTCCTTTGTAGTGGCACCGCTCTTACAGCACATCGATGGGATTTTCAGTTTCCAGCAACATGTGATGCTTGGCAAAAGAAAGATCAATATGCCATTTGGTACCATGGCAATGGCATGGCTTTGGCATGGCAATGACATGGCAATGACAAGGCAATGAATGCAGTGACATGGCTTTGGCATGGCAATGATATGGCCATGACAAGGCGATGACAAGGCAATCACATTGCAATAAAATGGTCATTTGCGTGCCATTTTCATTTTTTTTTTGAAGGTCTGATGACCAGAGGAGTAGCAACAAGTATGGGAATACCATTGGTAAGTTCGGATGGCATGGAAACAGCAGCACGAGAAAAATCACCAAAAATTGAGTGGCAAACAAGACTGGGTGGACATATAATTGACGAATGCATAGGATAAAACACAATGGGCGCACAACCAATACAGCACGCCCCTTAAAACATGGCAAACGTTTAGAGGTTGGTGAACAGTGAAAAACATTGAAATTCATTGAAACCCTAGAGATTTCCTAGAGTAGAAATTTTACCAGGGGTGTTTTGTCTCCTTGGGGGTTTTCACCCCTTCAAAAACATGCCATATCACAGAAACGGTTTCTGCTGTTTCCCCGGGGTGACACCTGAGGAATACCATTGTGTCGCTGCCTTTAGTGGTGGTGTTTTTGGTGGGTGTTTGCAGTTCGATCCCGGATGCCTTTGCGGCAAAGTTCGGCTTTGCTGTGGGCGTCGTGGCCATCATTGGCGGATTGTTTCTCCATTTGCACTTAGTTTCTCAGGGGTTTCTGTGATTGAGACTTTGCGGTGAAAGAAACGGTTTGGGTATGTTTGGGTAAATTGAATCTGAATGAGCACTCTGAAGGGGTCTTTTTCTTTCCTTAGACATCTCTGTGTTTTTGTGCGGACACGTGCTCTCTGGGAACATGACGGCCAGCACCTGTACAAACCATTGATTTCAAACTTCAGATTTGACCCTACACACCAGCCACTTTCCCATCTCTGACACTGATGCCGTGTGCCAACACCCCCAAAAGACATCAAAAGACGGGTTTGTTCCCTGCTCGACTTCAAGTTGATGCCTTGCAAATCTGCCAGCAAAGCCATCCAATAAAACATGATGGTTTCTCCCTGTGTATTCGTGTTGATTCCATTGTTTTCCAGGTTTGGTCGATTTTCCCATTTGAAGGAAATTTGTCACGACAGCCGACGGTCATCAGACCAGCCATTCTTCACAGTTGTCAAAGTACAGATTGGTCACTCAATGGAATTGTTTCTGATTACGTTGCATTGCAATTGCATGGTATAAATTGGCATACATACCAGGTCTATTTTCCATCCAGTCTAGGATTACAGTATATCTTCACTATCATTCATCGACAGGTTGTGGATGTGTCGCTCAAACACCATGCATCATGAACCAGAGACGTACTGTACCAGGTTTGTTCTTTCAAGAAGCACAGGCACCTCAGCCCACGAGCCACCATCTTTACCAGGTTTCTTAACTTGAAAATAAACCCTCAGCCAGGTTTGTTCCTGCAACCAACCATCAACCAATCTCAACCAGTATCAATTAAATTCTAAATATCAACCATGTTCAACCATGTTCAACTAAAAAACATCCATATTTGTATCCACTAGATATCAAATGATATCAACTATCCCAGGTTTGTTCCTGAAGAAAAACTCCATTATTTCCACACCTTCTTCATTGCCTTCGTCCTTGCGGAGCTGGCCGTCTGCATGGCCACCTACCTGCCGTGTCTGCGGCGCTGCTTCGGGGCCAAAGTGCCGAGGCCGGAGGCGCACGTGCACCGCCTGGCCAACCTGGTGGAGATGAGCCCTTGGAGGTGCCACAAATGGGGAGATCACTGGGAGATCACTGTTTTATATTGTTTTTTTAAGTTGGTTTGTTTGATGGTTTTCTTGATGGATTTATATGGTATTTTTTGGATTTATCTATGGATTTATATACGGGTATGTATATCATATAGTATATCATATAGTATATCATATAGTATATCATATAGTATATCATATAGTATATCATATAGTATATATATATATACTGAATATTGTCTGGATTTACGCGATTTTAGCTGATTTTACGTCGATACATGATGACTTATGGATTTACGATGACTTGTGATGATCTGTGATGGTTTTTGGGAGTATAGATTTTACTAGTAATATAGATACTTACTGGTCCCATATGTAGGAATCAACCACCAGCTATTCTGAGGAAAATCAGAAGGGTATCAAGGTAAGCCATAGGCCATAGCCATGCGAAAGATCTGGGATTATATGGGGTATGGACCAACGGTATGGATCAAAGTTTCATTGGATTGGTTTAAGGGAACACTTTCAGAAAAACCCTGTATTTGATGGTTAAAATAAACATGGTTTCCTGTGATTTTCCCTTCAACCGATCCAATGAAAGTTTGGTGTCCAAAACAAAGAAGACTCGACCTGAACATACTTGTACCCAAAATCTGTGGGTCAAAGGGCGATTGTTTGACCCTTAATGGAGCACAGTGGCTGAGATTCGAAATCATTGCAGTACGCCAGCCAATGTAGCAAATTCTTGGGCACTCAAGTGTGAACTATACACATTCTTGATGGGTGCACTTAATGGTGGTTTGAAGAGTGTTCGGGTACATTGACATATTTCTGCTGTACACAGATTGCAATGGCCAGGGTCCATTGGGTGCTTACTCCTTCGGAGCCTGAGGCCAGTGAAAGGTTTGGTGGTCGCCTTGATGGTGGTGTTGGCTTTGCTGATTGTCTCTTTGCAGTTGGGCTCTGAATGGCTCTTCTACGGCTTTTGGGTGCACCTCGGCAAGACTAGTGGAGCCGGTTTAGAGATACAGACAGTTGATGTTGTTCATGTCGACACACACACACACACATATATATATACAATTATATATATATATAATTATATATATATAATTATATATATATAATTATATATATATAATTATATATATATATAATTATATATATATGTGTATATACATATATACAATTGCGTACATGTTTCTGGTTTTAACTTTAACGACAATTTAATTCAAAACATAGACTAGAGACAGCACAATTACAGTTTGTCCTAGATGTACTAATTCCTGCAAGTCTGATACATTGTATGACCATTTTGGGAAGAATATTCAAAGCTCCAGATGAGCAGTGACCAAAACCCTGCTTGATTTTTCTGTATTATTCGGTGGTTATACTCTCCTTGATAGGACATTATCATGGATTCTCATTTAATATGGTAAGTCTCATTTCCTAAACCATCCCCCAAATTCCTCATTTTAAAGGGTGGTAAGTTTATCATCCCCAACTGGTAGTTGGGACTCCGCCGTAGGCTGTGGTTGGCCGTGCTGGGCGTTCTCCTCACCTGGAGCGTCCATCGCCGATCGGCACGTGCTGAGAAAGGCAGCGCCAAGCAGGCGGCCGCGTCGCCCAAAGAGACCATGGAAGAAGCGGCCAATCCCATGGCACAAGATGACACGGTGGTGGGTGCAGATGCTAAGGAAGAATTTGGAATGGGCTATGGGGTGTACGAATTCTTTGGCTTCTCTACATAATTATTATAACTATATATACGCATATGGATGATAAAATCAGTATTAACGTTTGTATGTATGATTATATGATGTTGTTGATCGTCGTTGCTGATAGTTGATGATGATTGATTTGATGCTGGTTAAATTGATGACGTTTTTTTTGATGATGATTGATGATGATTGATGATGTTTATTTGTGAAATCTACTCTAACATTTTGGGTCGCACTTTTGCACAGATGATTTGAATCTTGTGTTTGCCCTTTTGCAGGGCTGCGTGCTACATTTGCCGGTTGTTGGAGGTGTCTCAATCTGCGATGTTCAAAGATTAAGACCCTTTTCTAACATGCGCTGGATCCTGTGCTCCATGAGTACATACACCAGATCTTGCGAATGTAGGTCGATGTTTATTTTTACAGCATCCAGCTCTTTGAGGTTCATGGGAGTGCTTGAATATGGGATGTTCCATTGCGTGTATATATGAGCAGGGATCACCACACCCCACCTCCCCCCTCAGCCAGATGGTTTCCTCCCCCCTGTCAAAGGGCAGTGTTTGTGCAGATGTAAGTGGCTGATGTGCAGTTTATATTATAGGGAGTGTATGGAGAGTATTTAGGGAATTAGTTGCAGGGAGTATATACGTAGGTATATCGTATATGGGCACGCTGTGCAATGAGTCGTTTTTAGATACGCTACGAAACATGTGTAGGTAGTATATGTAGCGTGTAAGGAGTGTATAGGTAGCGATGAAGCAATGTATATACTACACATAGGTATACCATGTTTGGGTATTTACATTTGCGTATAGTTGGGTTATATAAGTAAATATATATATACACATTTGTGGTATATACTGCATCCAAGCATATATAATAAATTGGATTATACAGGTATGCATAGGAAGCTTTGAGTATATAATTTATAGGTAGCAAAAATGTAGCATAAAGGCCAACAATGAGTGGTAAACCATGCGTGAGGTAAGCTATAGGCAGTGCATAAACAGGATTTTGGTAGTATGTGCTAGATTGTTATGCTAAAAATGTATAGCTAGACAGGGTCCAGTGACGAGGTTGCGGCTCTCAACGCTGCAAATAACGTACAAATGGATATATTATATTTAACTATACATATCCATGTCTCAGTACTGTCGTGACCGGCATGCCAGGAGTATACAAATGAAGCATGCGTATGTGTATATGAACGGTGTACGGAATCCTCATGTGCAGCCACAGGTTTCAACAGTTTTCGATATTTGTCCAGGAGTCCAGGGTTGTTTTCCTGCAGCCTGCTTACAACCTGCAAAAGATCGATGAAGAAGTGACAGCAGACAGGAGATAGAAGAACCCAATTTCAAATATATGGTAGACACTTCAAACATTTCAATTGACATAGCGACGAAGCTCTGTTTCTACTCGCTTCTCAAGATTAGTGTGGAATAACGCAAAAAACGTTTGGAAGCTGCTAGACCGAGGGAATCCAACAAACCATTGCACTTAGGTTTATACTCTTGACCTGCACCTAGGAGCGTCCAGCAAATAATGACCACAAAACAGCTTCATGGCGGGCCTGTCCTTCAATTTTGGGGTCGTCCAGACATTTGCTGAGATAGACTTATATACAACACCTCAGAACATCACCAAAATACGGCAGCCACTTGATTGATACAGGGGTTCGCATTGAACATACCAAAACGACAACTTGTACCACAACGACTCCTATTTGGCCACAAGGGCATCAGTGGGTTCAAAACCACATCATACTGGTTAATTAGTTAGTATATATGTTATATATATTCATGATACTGCTATCCTCAGTTTTTCTGGTTAAGTTAATGTTACACTATGTGAGATCCCCAAGGAACCGTTGAACCGTTGAACCAGGGTCGTTGCACCAAGGATTACATCAAAGGCATTCAGGAGATGCCGCAAACAGCTGCTGGCTCCACCAGAGCCTCCATCTGAGGTGTGTAAAGGCCATGGCGGCCATGGTGCATGACCCATGGCTAGTTAGCGGCTGGTGACTGTTGTAGTATGTATTACTGTAATAGGTCAAAACAAGCTGGTATAATCTGTTACTGTTCTAATATCCTAAAATATCCTGTAATATTACAATTTCCTATAATATTATGATATCCTGTAATATCCTAAAATATCCTGAGCATATTAATATGGCAGAATCTGTACTGTTGTAATCTGCGGTCTGTTGCAGTGTTTGCCCAGTGATGGATGTGATGGCCCCGCCCCTTGAGCAACACCTCAGCCGCGTTTGGGGTACAGTATCCCTATGTTAGGACAAACCCAAATAGATCAAGTTGACTTCTGTTCTTCTTTAGTGCGGTTCTGCAGTGGTTTCCAGGTTCAACTTTTCAGCATGTTTCAGCTGTTGATGCAGTGGTGCCTGTTGATATTGTTGAACGGTCTTTCTGGTGATTGTATGATTTCTTCATGTCGTGCCATTTCCAGGTAGTGCTTGCGTTTGGTGTCCTTTATCATTCATTACCCTGCATTTGCGAAGACATATTTAGATTTTTTGAGATATATTTCAACTTTGCACGCCATGCTTACAGATGCACACGAGCTGCAGTTGATCATCCAGTGGTTTAACCAGTGGAGTTGACCTAATCCTTTCTGTTGTCACCACTGCTCAGGAAGATAGAACTGACTTGATCGCACGATACACTTGGTTATTTGAACACATATGAAATCTCCAAGCAGAAGTAATTTCAATTGGTCACTGTACCTCTTTGGGAGAGGGTCTGGAGATTTGTGATCTTGTTTATCATTGTGTTTTGAACTGAAATTAATACTGTACATCTCGTCTTGCTGTGCTTGCGAAAATGAAGGGTGAAGATCTTTGCCGGGGAAACCTTGGGTGGTAAGTTTATAATTTATAATACTCCATTTTTTGTGTCATGAATGGGGATGTCTAACCAGCATTAACCAGCTAAATATTTATTTGTATCCAGAGTATCCAAGATCGGGATTGGCAATGTTTCTTGATGTACAACAAGGCTGTATAGTATCATATGCATACTACCGGTACCTTCAATGACGAGAACACGGTGACTTGAAAATGGACCATTTTCTGTAGTGGAAATCATGTCTCCATTTCTGGTTCATATTCAAAAACGTGAATCAGTCTGGGCATCTTTAATTTTGACTCTGGCGCATTATTTGAAGCTGGATGATCAGCAGGCGACCCTATGGCGTAAGTCTTAGTCGCACAGGGCAAGTATAGAAATCACTGACATGTTCCGGATCGCTCCGGAACCAGCGGATCAAGCTGTAAAGGACCGAGCAGCAGGATCTAGATCAGGCCGTAACCTCTACTGAGTCTACGGTCCTTGCAGAATAAACTAGTTTAGATTTGGAAGGTGAATTTGGCCATTTCAGGTGGTCATGTTTGTTTGGGTTCTATCTTGTTTTTGTGAAGTTGATCTGCTGCAACATTGTTTTTCTTAGCGTGTTTTTTTTGCAGATGCCAGCGCTGGGCCCCACCATGAGTAGACTCATGAAGAGACTGGCCATAGACTAGAT